CCTGACAGCATCCTGATGAGTAACGAGAGGCAGATGAGCCACCGGCTGAGCTGAGTGGTGAAAAGCATTAAAGAACTAAGAAAGAAATATCCGGAGGAGAAGAACAGATTTTGGCTCAGCAGGAGGCCAGCTGGGCCCCTCGGGAGAGGGAGATGGTGGGGGGGTTCTCTCCAGGCTTCTCCCTACAGCACCCCGTGCCAGGGCAAAGCTGTGTTCTGCACTACCAAAAAAACAGCTGAGGTTCAGATACTGGGAAATAACCCAACCAAGAGCCTCACCCTGCCCTGCGAGGTGCCACACCACTGGGGTGCAAAAGAGGGTAGCCCATATCAGGGATGCAGGGCTGGAACTGCTGACCCCAGCACAGGTCTGTGACTGGAGCCACTGCCAGAGGTGGCCTGGCAGGAGCAACTGAAGCCACACACAGGGAAGAAGTGCCACCCTAAAACCCAAAGGACCCCACTGCAGTCCTGGGGCAGAGCACAAGGAAACAAGCAGCCTTCAGCCAAAGGAGGGGCACTGACTCTGGAGCATACTGATGGTGGTGTTCCTGATGCCCCACCAAACAGACAAAAGTCAAAACCTGCAGAGGAGCTCAGAGAGCTCAAATCCCTGTTCCAAGGTGCCTGTCTCTTGCCTCAGCCCAGCCGTGACCCCTCCATGACTCACCATCTGAATCAATGCTGTTCAAGGCAGTCGGTGGAATGATGGACACTTTGTACTGGCCCAGGGGGCACCTCTTGCCAAGTTGCTCCTTGCAGGCACTGTGAACCTGGGGACACAGGGACACCTGCATAAGCAAAGCTGGAGAACACAGCACCGAGCCCAGCCTCAGCTTTCCCAGCGATGCACCCAAGAGGGGCAGTGCTGTCTGTGCCAGGCAGGGTGGGGCTGGGGACAGGGATGGGTACATCCTTACAATGGCCTTGCACCAGAGACACCGCCAGTCCTGCAGCCTCCGGACGCTGCCACAGGTCCGGTCACAGACAGCACAGCGTGCACTGACGGGAAGGTTCCCCTCCAGCCACTGGTGGGGCATGGCCACCTGCAGAGAGGGGCAGATGCCAATGAAACTCTGTGTACTTGAGAGCTAGTGTCACAGGCCACCTCTTTCCCCAGGCACCATGGAAGAGGTGGGCAGGGGCAAGGCAGGCCTGGAACCCCTTCTGTGTGTCCTGTCCCTGCCTGCCTGGCCCCCTGCAGCTGCCAGCATATGGGGCACGGCAGAGGTGTCCCCAGCAAATGTCTGGGGGTGGCCACACTTGGAGAGCAATAAGGGATCCTGATGAAAGGTGGTAGAGGAAGTATTCCCAAGCTATGTCCCTACAGAAAGAAGCCCACAGGCCATACAGTGCATGGGACAGGCAGGGTCCCTTCCTGCTCCCTGATTCAGGCATAGCAAGGCCAGCTCTCCTGTTGGCTCTGTCCTGCCAGGGTCACCTGTAGGGACTCTGCTACTTACCCCATCTTCGTCCTCAATGATTTCAGTGCCGATGGAGGCCAGGGTTGTCCACTTGCAGTTGTTCGTGGCTCTGACAGCGCAGCGCTTGTGTGCCTTGAACTTGCAGACTGCATGGGGGGGAAGCAGTGAGGAGCAGGGAAGGTCCCCACAGGATGCACAGCCTTGGTCCCAAACACCTCCATGGCTGGTGACAGCAGCTGGTGGGCATCACCCCACACCCCTTCTGCTCTGGCCCAGCCTCCGGAGGGTGCCTGCCCAGGTCCCGGCTCCAGCCCACCCCCCAGTGGGACCCTGGCACTGACCTTCACAGGAGAGGCCGTGGGAGGTGACCCCCGGGAGGGCTTCACGGCACACGTTGCAGAAGGTGGGGCGGGCGTGGGAGCAGGCGTACCCGTTGTGCATGCCCGAGAAGTGCTCCATGTTGAATTGCGTAGCCTGCTGGGGGGCACAGTCCTGCCCCATCAGTGCCTGGAACCCTCAGCTGGCAATCCCCTCCCTCTTGGTCCCCAGAGTCCCCCCCAGCCTGACTCCTGTCTCCTTGCCGGGGCTGTACCAAGGGCAGCAGCTTTTGCCCAGCAGCAAAAGGCACCCGGAGGGGTACACACGCGCAGACATGCACCCACACAGCCCCCGCCCATATCACCTCATAGATCTCCCACTTCTGGACAGATTTCAGGGCACTGATCCAGTCCTCCATCTCCTTCCTGTTCTCCGCACATAGGATGAGCTTCCGGAATGGCGTGATCACCTGCAATAGCCACCATCCCCACGTCCTCTTGCAAGGCCAACACCAGGCCAGCCAGCGCCCAGCACAGCCCCCAGCAAACCCTGTCACACTGGTGCCACCTCCAGCAGCAGGAGGCCATGCGACAGGGTACCCCCTGGCTCTGGGGGAACTGGGGGCTCTGCAGTGCCTCCCCACAAGGTGCTGAGGCCTCAGTGGGGTGCAATGAGTAGCCCCACTCCTCCCTCACCGTGAAACTGTTGTTGATGTTCTTGGTGCTGGTCTCAGCCACACTGGCATCCGACAGGTCCACCTCGTCAAAGATGAGAGACTGCGAGGGAGAAACCAGAGCCTCAGTGCACCAGGCAGGGATCTCTACCTCCTCCCAAGCTGGCAGGCTCAGGGCCCCCTGGCTGAGCATGCTGGAAGCCCCTCCCAGCCTACCTTGGCATCCTTAGCGTAATAGAGCGTCCTGCCCCGCAGCTTGAAGTATCGTCTCTTCCACCTCTGGAAGGAGCTCGTCTGCTTCAGCAACAACCCCTCCTTCACACTTTTCTGCAGAGACCACAGTGTCCTGAGCTCCTGCAGCCCCAACCCAGACCCCCAAAGCCACCACTTTCCCCCTGTGAGGGCAGGCAGCACCCAGAGAGCCTTGACCTGCTGCAGCTCCCCAGAAGCCAAGGGCAGAGCTGGGGCCAGGAGAGGTCCCTTGAAGAGGACACCAGTGCCCCAGAGGCACCAGGACTGCATCTTGGAGACAGCATTACTTGGTCACTGTGGCCCCAGGCAGGCTGGGGAGCAGACAGCTGGGGTGCAGCCAGCCCTGCCCGGCCCCCACAGCCCCTGGAGGGGACAACCTGGGACCGAGGGCAGCCTGCAGCACGCAAAGCATCCCCTGCAGTGCAGCACATCCCTGCAGCCTGGCTGCCCATCCTCTGCCCTCCCCGAGCCACAGCACCTGCCAATATTTACCCTCCTTGCAGCAGCGTTTACAAGACTCAATTAATTAGTGTTTGCAACGTGGCTATGAGCCTGTGCCGAGTGGGGTGGCAGAGATGCTCTGGCACTGTCTCATCTTTGATTGCCCCTGCCAATATTTACCCTCCTCGCAGCAGTGTTTACAAGACTCAATTAATTAGTGTTTGCAACGTGGCTATGAGCCTGTGCCGAGTGGGGCGGCAGAGATGCTCTGGCACTGTCTCCTGGCACTGTCTCATCTTTGATTGTATCTTCTTTAAACACCGCCGGCAGCCCCGTTCTGCTGCTCCTCTGCAATTAGCTGCCACGGTGGATGTATCGGATCCCAGCACAAGAAAAGCCACATTTAACGGCAAATTAGCCCTGGGCACTGAGAGCACAGCAAGAGAACTGTGGTTCTGGGGCTCTGCACTACCGTGCCCAGCCCATGTGTGCACCCAGGCACCGGCCAGCCTTCGAACACACCGGCCCCAGGCCTCAGCCTTAATTCACTGTCCCATGACTATGAACCAGATGGCCAGAGCACCAGGAGTAGCATAAGCCTCCAAGGTCACGAAGAAGCCAAAACCCCACCTCCCCAGCCTCAACTCCCCCAGATGCCTGACCTCTCCCCAAGCTCCCAGGGGCATGCACCAGGATGTCCCCAGCAATTCCAGCATGCAGTTTGAAGGGAGATGTTTTAAGCATTTAATGCTTTTCCCACCAGGACTGCTGCAGAGTTTGGCTGTGGTCTGTCCCCATGCTGTGGGACCACACCTACGAGTGTCGGTGCAGGTTCAAACAGGCCTGTTGTTCCCAGTGCCAGCACCCTAGGACACACCACATCCCTTTCCCCTGCCTCTTGGCTACGAGAACACAGAGGAGATGGTGAGACGAGAGCTGCCCCGAGCAGCAAGGGGAGCACAGTCTTCCAGCTATGACCCCCAGATCCACACACAAACCATGTACCCTAGCAGTCCTTGACCCACTGCAGGAGGGGACAGGGCAGGGTTGCACTGAGCGGGGGTGCCCCAGCCACAAAATGCCAACTCCAACACACCTGCCTGCACGCAGCAGGCACAAGCACTGGGTCTTCTGCAGTCGTTGCGGCTGCTGGGAAGGACAGGCAGCGTGTGACAGTGAGGGGCGGTGTGGGGAACTGTGACGGGGAGGAGCAGGAGAACAGAATGACAAGCAAGAAGAGGTAGGTCCATGACGGTAGCTCAGGGCTATCACGGCAGGGACTAGAGCCAGCAGGGCATGGGAGCTGAGCTTTGTCTGGCTCCAGGGCCACTTGGGTGGCAGGATACAGCCAGGATGGCTGTCCAGGGGGGGCAGCACCCCCTCCTGCCAGGTGGTCAGAGCTGAAACACCACCACCAGCAGCTCCTGACAGCCAGCCACAATAAGGCATCACCCAGCCCCAGGATGCCACAGTCCCAGCCATTCCAGGGACAGGATGCAGCTGCCCACACTGCACCAGCCCAGGCTAGGGCACGGCCTGAAAGGCAAAGCCCCCCACCTCCACCACTACATCTGTAGGAGTTTTACAACACTCCCAGTGCCATGGCTGGGAAGGAGTGTACCTCAGTTTCCTCCAGTGCAAACTAACTAGTCCCCAACAACCCAATGCAGGACAGCAAAGCTGGTACAGAGAAGCTCAGGGGGCTCCACCCCCTACACCTACTCTCAGGGGCTGCTTTGGGCAGCAGAGCCCAGGTCCTCTGCCCTGCCATGTGCGGCATCTTGCTGCACAGCCCCTCATGCCAGCGATGGACCATCCAGGCTCCATCACCCCTGGTGCTGACACCATGGGGTACAGGTTCAGTTGTTGGCAGCATTGGGCCAGCCAGCCCCCTCTCCAGGCAAATGAGGTAGGTCTCCTCTCTAAAACGAGCCCTGCAGCCTGGCTGTCCCAAGTTGCCTGGGGAGGCACACAAGTCACTGGCCTGGGGTGTTGGAGAGCTGTTTCAGAATCTCACTGGGGTGAGCCACTCACATACCTAATTTTTTGTTGTGGGTCTCAGCCAGGAGCACCTAGTTCGTGCTGCTCCATGCTGGAAGCAGCTCCCCAGTTGCTCCGTGGTTTTGGACCCCTGCTTTTGGCATGAGGGACAGGAGGAGACCTGAGAGGCACCTGGTGGCCAAGGCGAGAAGCAGGCCTGGCCACTGAGTGGGAAGTCACACTGCATTGCTGAGCAAGCCCTGCGTGTCCCCTTAGCAAACAGGAAAGGGGTGGGGATGGCACGGGCAGACAGGCATCACCCTGGCTGTGCTGGCCCCCTGCAGCCCCCTCCAGGGTCACAAAAACACAGTCCCCTATAGCAAGTGGCAACTAGGTACCCTACAGCTCACAGGAGCTGGAGCTGAGCACCCACAGCACAGGGGCTTGCCTCTTCATCCTGGAGAGCTTTTGGGGACACTAGCAGCCCCTGGTCACTGGGCTGGGAGCTCTGCACTGGTTGCTGCACAGCTGCGAGCACAGTGTGCCACCCACACCCTAAACAGAGCCCAAGCCCCTCCGCTCACCCCAACCGCGGCTTTTCTGGCTGGAAAGCCTCAGGCAGCGCTGCAGGGAGCCTCAGCAAAGCCAACGCTGATCCCATCCCAGCAACAGAGGCAGCGACATGGCATGACAATGCCCAAAGCCACGTGAATCTGCCTGGCCGACGGCCCCATCCCTCCACTGCCCCATCCTGGGGTTCCTACCTGCTCTCTCTCGCCCTGGGTAGCTCAGCACCACCCGGGATGTGCCCAGCACCCGGGTGGGTCTCCAAGACACAGGGTGGGGAGGAGAAGGCAAGAATGAAACCACATGGCGTCTGCAGAGAAACTGCCACACGGAGCTCAGACACAGCTGGGAGAGCACAAGCAGCAGTGGGGCCTCGGCGGGGACACAGCTAAAAATGGCCCAGGGAGGATGGCTGGCCACCAGCAATGTGCCCTGCCAGGGCTGGACTGGTCCCCAGGGGCCATGATGCCATGGGCTGGCTGTGTGCTTAGCACAAGCAGGGGAGCTTGAAGTGCAGCCCAGGAGAGATTACTGCCTTCTGGCAGCACTCTAGCAGGGCTTCTTCCAGGCCAGAGTGCACCCCAAAAATGCCAGCCCTTCCTTTAGCCCTAAGGCAGAGCCCAGGGATGCAGCTCCACTCTGCTACCCTGCTCTCCCAGCTCTGCTGCTGCCAGTCCTGAGAAGAGTCCATTGTGAAGCCAGGTCTGACTACAGCTGGGGCAGAAGGGTTTTCCTGCTAGGATCAGCTTGGACAGCGAAGTTGCTGCTGGAGAAGAGCCAGGAAGGTTGTTACTCAGGAATGCTGGCACATATGGCTGGTGAGGACCATACTGCCTGCTCACCCAGCTGGCATCCTTACACCACTCCTGAAGGGATATGCTTGTCCCCATGACCACACAATGCCTCACCCAGGAGGAGAAGAAGGGAAAGGGGACCAATCACCCACCAACTCACCAATCTGCATTGCACCAGCATCATCCCGGGCAGCCACCCTCCTCCAAACGCAGCAGCCCACCAGGCACAAGCCACATCCAGCTGGATCAGAGCTCATCTCCCAGCTGAGCCGGCAGGCACCAGGACAGCAGGAGAGACCAGGCAGCCCTCAAACAGCCCAGCCATGCGGCCACCAGCAGCTGCTGGGCACCTTGTGGGCTGGAGTCAATTTGAAACCTTATCAGGCTTGGCAACACAGCAAAGCCCTTCCGGGACTGGGCGGTCAGGGGCTCAGTGCCTGGGGGGTGCCATGGCCCCACAAGCTCAGATACTCCCTGAGGATGGAGCCTGCAGCCATTGCAGGATGCAAAATACCCCTTCACAGTGCTGGGGGGATCCTTGAAAGGAGATTCCAGCACTGGTCCTGACCTGCCATTACATGGTGTCAGGACGCACCACTCAGGCCAACGAAAGGGGATGGAGAATTAATAGGGAGAAGAGGAACGAGGGAAGGAGTCCCCAGACTCTCCCATGGGGGAAGGATCCCCCCTGCACCTCATCCTCCAAGAGCTGCTTTTTAGAAATGAGCTTGTGCTTCCCCATCTACAGCCACATTCGTCCCCAAACATCCCGCCAGCAGCCATCCCACACCAGCCCACCCTGTGCTGGTTCCGCCCCTGCCCCTCGTGCCCCAGTGCTGGCAGGCA